CTAACAAACGTATGAAGATAACCAAGATCACTCATCTTCGGAAATCGAAAGTGGTGTATTATATAATTCAGTACTTAAAAATCGTCTGGATAAATATATATGTACTACATATATGTATTATATAATTCAGTACATAAAAATCGTTTGTATCTGCTCTTCTACATCATTGAGGTATGAACAATGAAAAACAAGACTTCCAACTGATGAAACCCTAACTCTTCACAATACATATCACAAATATACACATATATACTTTTATACAAGATATGCATATTATCACCTTGAAGAAGCTCCCGTGTGGCTTTTTTCATCCATGAGAGCTCTTCTCTCTGTTCCATTTGAGAGAGAGAGAAGTAGAAAGAGAGAAGTAGAGTCTTGATGATAGACGGTGATGGAGAAGGTATGAAGTGAAGAAAGATTATAAGGGCAAGCGAGAATAAATAAATTAAAAGATAAAATAAATAATAACCTTCATGGGCCGGGGCCCAATTTGACATTAGGGATCGTGGCGTCATCATTGCCGAGACGAGCTACTATTTAGTGAACTTGTTGACGTCACTGTTACGATATTCATAGACTAACCTGCCCCGAGTACATGACGGTTCTGCCCGGGAGGTGGTCCTCTTCTCTGAGTTAGCAGTTTCTTTGGTCCAAATAAAAGTGAAACAAAGTCAACAGGTCAAATAAAAACTCTAAACTGTGTTTCATTTTCACCTTACTTTTCTTTGTCAACAGTTCTTTAATTTCCTCTTTAAATTGGTTTTCTCATGTTAAAATGTTTTTTTTTATTGAGCTTTTACTCCACGTTACATGATTGATTTATTGTAACATTTTTTACTTCATAACTCAACCTAGCTGGTATAGGCTTCCTTGCTAAACATAATTATTCGATAATTGGTGAGGAGACTGAGTTTGAGCAAATTAAGAGAATCTTGGTAAATGGAATTCCTCAATTCTAGGGACAAAACTTTAGACTTCAAATTTCAAAATATTTCATGTTTACATACAAAATTGTCATATTTTATATAATAACATTCTTCAGAAAACGATGATGTCCATGTGTTGTTGTTTCTACTTTTCAAGTCCACAATTTCCTAAAATTTAATTTTTCTTAACTACTTAAGAAGTACTTCATCTCTTGTGTTTTGAATAAATTGTTATTCTTTACGCAAATGAGTTTCCGATCTCTGAAAAAAAAAATGAAGCTAGCGGAGGAAGATTGATACAAAATGGGAAAAAAAACGAACTAGTTTTATATACAAATGGTAAAAGAAACAAAAAAAAAAGTTATTTATATAAAGTGAAGTAATCAAAAGTCTAAGATTTGTGGGGAATAGAAACTTTGTGGGCGTGCGGGAAAATCACAGTCTCCTACGGCATAAATGGTCAAAATAATGCTATAAACTAGTAATGAACTATACTATTAACATTGTTTTATAATCAAACTGATGACGCTTTGATAAAAAAATATCAAACTGATGACGCCAAAATGATCCATTGACCTGCGTTCCTAAATTAAATAAATATTTCGTTAAAATGTGATGATAGTGCTTAGGTCTGGGCGTTCGGATCGTTTTTTTTGGATTTCGTTTTTTTTAATACCACCTTATCGGTTTTGTATCACATCACTGAACCCATAAAGTAACCATATATCATTCGGATTCAGGTTATATCGGATCGGTTCAGATATACTCGAAGTAAAATCTAAAATTTTAAAGGAAAACATAAGAAATATATATACTTATTTATATATAATTAAGTTTTAAGATACTTATTTAAAATTTAAATACTTATTATTCGATACCATATCAAAATAAATATGAAATTTAATATTTGAAGTATATATTTATCTTCCGTATAATTATATTGTATATTAGTTTTGATATTCAGATCGGTTTCTTCGGATATATTTTTAGGTTTTGTGGTTTTTTCTGTTTTTTCGGATTATCTATTCGGGTTCGATTAATAACACTTCGGGTTCGGATATGTTTCATACCACCTTACAAAATCCGTTCGGGTATTTTTTTCTATTTCGGATCGGGTTCGGATCGGATTTTTCGGTTCGGTTCGGTTCGGATTTTGGTTTTTTGGATTTTATGCCAAGGCCTAGTAGTGCTACTATTCTCTCCGTTTCGAATTAGATGTCATTCTAGAGGAAAAATTTTGTTTCAAAATAAGTGTCGTTTTAGAGTTTCGAGACAAAATTTATTAGGTTTATATGATAATCTATTTTTCCATTGGTTAAAAAATGGTTAACTGTATTGATAATTGTGTTTTTATATTGAAAATATTGTGTTTTTTAATTTGTGTGCAAAAACCTAAAATGACAATTAAACTGAAACGGATGAGTATTAGTTTATGGGCTCTTCACTCTTCGTAAGTCTTAGACATTTAGTTGCATTTTCACAACATTTTCTTTCGTAAATAATAGAGTACAATACTACGACAAAAGCTCTTAATTTCTCAAAAAGGGTCCCCTACAATTATTACAAGTAAGAATGATAGTAATGATTTTTGTTTCGTTCGTTTTTTCTTTTCCCATATCAGTCCGTCCGTTTCCTCTTCTGTTCCTTCTCTTTGATACTATGCTTCAGAGATCTTTCTTTTTTGCCCAACATTTTTGTTAGTTTTAATTTTGACCCCCCTCCCCTCTCCCAAAACATAACACTACTTTAGGCTCTAACCAGTAATCATCACACGAACATCAAGAACAAATAAAAAAAGAATAGATGAAAATAAAATTATGGGAATGAAGAGGAATAGTTATTCCATATCAAGTTTAATAAGGAACAAATTTGTTAAATAAATCTCTATAATAAAAGGAATGATGAGGAATATAAAGGAAAAGCTATTCCTTATGAATGGTAAAAAAAGAATAGATGGGAATAAAATTATGGGAATGAAGAGGAATAGTTATTCCATATCAAATTTAATAAGGAACAAATTTGTTAAATAAATCTCTACAATAAAAGGAATGATGAGGAATAGAAAGGAAAAGTTATTTCTTATGAATGGTAAATTTTTTGAGGAATATTAAAAAATATATTGTTCCTCCTTGTTCTTTTGGTCACCATTCATAGCCTTAGTTAAACTGGTAGTGCAAACTGTAATGCAAGTATGCAGCATTGAAAAGATTCAAAAAAAAAAAGAGCGCATGCAAAAGAAAGGAAAATAAAAGTTTAATAGAAATTTCCAAAGAAATGCTCTAAATATTCAATTTTTTTAGTAAATAGCTATTTGTCAGATTTCGTTATGAAACCATAATAGCAATTAGCCCAGTAGCAGCGCATAAGAAAGTAACGTTTGAGATCTAAAGTTTCTGTTTATGTTAGTAGAGGCGTGGCCCATTTCAGCTCATAGATTTTGCTGGCAAATGTCCTTAGCAAGTTTTTGCTTTAAAAGTATGAAACTATATGGGGCGATTTCGGCAATGAAAGACAATAACAAGGATCAAAAGTGAAATATTTGACAGGAACCATTTCTTATCCAAAACCCAAAACTTTCTGCTCTTTAGCTCTAAAACCCTCTCACTCCCCTCCTTCTCTGTACTTTCTCTCCAATGGAGTCACTCCTACACGCGTCTTCATCTCTGGTATCTCTCAGGCCCGGTATAAACGGCCGAGATTCATTCATCAACCCGCCGCGCGTGTTTCTAACTCCTACTCTCGGCCGCAGAGGATCTAAACCTCTTCCTTTGGTCGCCGCGGCTAAGAAGAAGAAAAGCAAGAAAGATGACAACCATAGCTTCTCAGCTAGACCTGACGAAGCCACTGGTCCATTCCCTGAATCAATCCTTCTCAAAGAGGTTCTTAAAGATAGTATTGTTAATTCTCTATTTCTTGGTCCAACATTTGATGTTGCTGAAGTTTGTGTGATTGTTTGATTTATATGTAGAAGAAGATTGATGAGGAAGGTGATCTTCTTCCTGATTTTGCTGATGCTGAAGAAAGTAAGTGTGATTATTATTATTTTTTTTTTTAACTATCTGCTGCATGTTGGTGATTATTGTGTTTGTTACCTTAATGATTTGGTGTTTTGAATTGTTTGAAACAGAGGAGTTATACGAGTTTCTTGATCTTCAGCTTCAGAGTGACTTGAATGAGGAGAGGAGTAAGCTCTTCTTCTTTTAAACTTCCTTTTAATCTAACTTTGTTGTTTCAACTCGTTGAACCTTATCTGAAAGCTGGTACTCTGGTTTTCACTCATTAGCTGCCATTACCATTCTCCCTTCCTGCTAAGTATATGATATTTATGTAAAATCTCAAGTTTCAGTTAAATAAAGGGTTATAACTGCAATTTTCAACCCTAGGAGAGGAAGTATGAAATGTGTTATCATTAGATGGTTGGGAGCTTAGTGTGATCAAGCCTTTAACAATTTTAAGCTTAGAAGAGGAACTTGGAAATATGTGATGGTGTAGGATGTAGGATATGACAATTTTAATTGTTTTAATTAGATGGTTGAAAGCTTACCTTAGAATGTGATCAAATCTTGATAAGTCACTAGTTTGTAATCAGATAGAGAGAAGTCATGAATTTGATATCACTCCGTTTGATGATGTATGTAACCTATGTATGCGCAGTGAGACACTATGAGGTGGTTTACTTGATTCATGAAAAACATGCTGAAGAGGTAGAGAGAGTCAATGAGAAAGTTCAAGGTGAACAACAGTTTCCCCTTCTCATGCTACTTTGTTCCTATATGCACACCCACTAGTAGTCATCCAGGACTGATGTGTTAAAATTTTTAATCAAATCGTACATCGGTTCATTTAGTTATAGTGGTGATTGTGTTTGTTGATAATGTTCAGAATTTCTGAAGGAGAAGAAGGGGAAAGTTTGGAGGTTCAGTGACTGGGGGATGCGTAGACTGGCATATAAGATACAGAAGGCAGAGAATGCGCACTACATACTGATGAACTTTGAGATCGAAGCTAAATACTTAAACGAGTTCAAGGGATTGTTAGATGCTGATGAAAGGGTGATTAGACATCTCGTGATGAAACGCGATGAGGCTATCACAGAAGACTGCCCTCCACCTCCAGAGTTTCACTCTGTTCGGGCAAGTATGAACGACGTAGATGACTTTTATGATGATGATGAAGAAGAAGAGGAAGAGTTTGATGAAGAGGAGGAAGAAGGTGATAATGTGGAGTACGAAGTAGATGATGATGGTAATGTCGTTATGGTGGTGTATGAAGATGAAGGAGAAGATGGGATTGATGAAGAGGAACAAGGACAAGACCAGCCAAATAACGCCAGGAGAGAAAACCAGACAACAGTTAACGTATGAGGGTAAAGTTGTTTGTAGAGATCTTAAGTGTTTTTGTCATGAGATTTGCATAACAAGGTCTCATAATAGCACTGGACAAAGATCAAGAAAAGAGAGGCAATTAAAAGAAAACATTCAACACTTAATTAAACTTGTCTGAAGCTGTCTTACAATTCTGAAGCAAAACTACCATTAGATTAGAAAACTACATTGTGAAACTTTGTTTGTAGATGATGAAGGAGAAGATGGATCTGGTGAAGAGGAACAAGGACAAGACTAAATAACGCCATAAGAGAAAACCAGACAACAGTAAAAGTATGAAGTTAAAGAGCTGTTTGTAGATTTTAAGTGTTTTGTCATGAAATTTGCATAACAAAGTCTCATAATAGCAACGTTAAAGAACAAAGATCAAGAAACAACGGGCAACTAAAAGAAAACATTCAACACTTAACTAAACTTGTCTGAAGCTGTCTTAGGGAACATGAAAGAAACAACAATCCATTACAACTCTGAAGCAAAACTACCATTAGATTAGAAAAACTACATTGTGAAAACTCTGAATCCAGTTCTGGTCTCTCCTTCTCTGACAGAGATTAGAACTAACGTTTAGCAGGCCTAACGTCATCAGCAGCAGCAGCAACAGCTCCTCCTTCCTCACTCTGGTCCTTGGCAACCCTCTTCCTCTTTGCCAGAGGCTCAGATTTGCCGCCAGACAAGTTACCGACATCATCATCAACATCGTCATCTTCATCCTCCTCATCCACGTCTTCTTCCACACCATTCTCCTCCGGTTCAAAATCACTAGCGTCCTCCTCGTCTTCACCCTCACCAACCGGCTTTACTAGATACTCCGTCCCAAGATCCTCCTCCTCCTCCTGCACAGTTATATGACCAAACAAAGACTTAAAACCCTAATTTTGATTTGGGGGAAATTAAAAATGTATAAACCCTAATTTGACCTAATCTCTGTTATACGACGATTAAGAGTGTAATTAACCCCAAATATACAAACGAAACACCAGATCTATAACCGACTCTCGGATTATAGCTTAAAAAGTGAGTATACCTCTTCATCATCGTCGTCCTCGTCGTCGTCATCATCATCATCTTCATCGTCTTCTTCTTCACCGTCGAATTCTTCATCGTCGTCTCCAGTAACTTCTTCTTCTCCTCCTTGCTTTGTTTCTTTCACTTCAGTGTCGTCGTCGTCGCTCAGAACCTGAACATTAGCTTCCTCCGCGACCTTCTTGTCATCATCAACAGGCGACATCTTACTTTACGAGAGAATTAGGCTTTCCAGAAGATTTTCTCTAGTGTGAGGAAAGACCAAGAGAGAAGCTTCGAACCAGCTTTAGCAGTGGAATCAGAACCCTAAGATATTCGATCGTAGCCGTTTAATTTGAATTCTTACTTGGATTGATGAGATGGCACCAGATCTAACGGTTTGTGTGAGAGGTAATGTGGTTTTGGAGAAGAGGGTAAATAATATGTGCCGTTTCGCTGAATAAAATAATAATTTTAGTTTCTTCGATAAGGCACACGTGGAGCAAGTGCGAGTAGTACACGCTTCTATTCATTTGGGCCGACTTTTTTTTTTGAGGCCCAATATCAAGTTCATTTAACTAGGCTCGCAACTTTATTTTCACTAAACCGGTTGCGTCTTTGGTAAATGATTGAACCGGTTTTCGAACACGGGTAAAAATGGGCACGAAGTTTCTAGAACCGAATCACGGGAGATACCAGCATTCACGAGCCAGATATCGACTGACGAGAAGACAGCCCCACGATATATTTTCCTGTGTTTGTAAGTACGAAAAATATTTATTTAAAATTAGCTAGATGAATGTATATGGAGATTATTCGGTCGACGTCGGGTATAGTGTGAACTCATAGCATAATGGTATATTTGTCGCATACGGACCGACTTATATAGGGGACCTGTTCACCAATACTTCCACTTTTCTCTTGTTTTTGTGCTAACAACCACATGTAACCAAAAAAGCTATTAAAGTGTTTACAAACGTAAACTAAAGAGCAGACACAGATCCATGATTACGAATTAGATGATCATTAAAATACGCAGGGCTGCTTATATTGTAGTAGTATGACATTTCTATCAACCACACAAACACAAAAATTGTTGATCACGAAGCTTCGTCACGGGTGGAACTATACGAACAATGTCAATTTTATTAATTTATATAAGTTTAACATCGATACATAAAAAAATTCTTATGTGACGACGACACGTATTATAAAACATCTGTTTTTATGTTTAAAAGAAAAACATACATAAATGTTAGTTTGTAAGCTTTCGACATTTTTTAGCATATAACAAATGTATGTGCAGCTATATAAGTTTAGAAACAGAGCTAGCTTTTAGAACTCATCGTAGTAACACACAAGTTCTCTTAATTTATTCCACATCAAAACTCCTGTCACCTTCTTGAAGTTCCACTACCTCCAACGATGAAGACATCACTGCCGTCTCTCTCCTTCTTTCTCCTCCTGCTCCTACCATTGCTAGCTCAATCCTCCGACGATCTTATTGACAAAATCTGCAGAGTGACGCCGTTCATCGACCTCTGTGAAGGCTCTCTCCGCCCTCTCACTCCCTCACCTTCCGACCCCAAGTCTCTAGCCTCCGCAATGGCTTCCGTAGTTCTAGGTAACATGACTGATACCTTAGGATATATCCAATCTCTGATCAGACACTCTCACGATCCGGCGGCGGAGCGAGCACTGGCGCAGTGTGCTGAGCTGTACCGGCCGGTGGTCAAGTTCAACATTCCTCAGGCGATCGAGGCAATGCGGCGAGGGGAGTTCGGTTTCGCGACGTATGTGCTCGGAGACGCAGAGAAACAGACTGATACGTGTCAGAAATGGATCAACAGTGCCGGTGCTGATGATGAGAGCTCGGTGGCTCTTACGGCTAGAAACAAGCTGGTTAAGAATCTTTGTGACGTGGCAATATCTGTGATTAAGTCTTTGATGAAGGGTCGTTGAGACAAGAATCTCTGTTTCTGTTGCAAATAATTATTATATATATACATATTTGTAATTATTGTCTCGAATAATTTTATTTTTATCGATTCGGAAAATTAATAAGTAATTTACACAAAGAATAATCATCAACAAACTGATTCTTGAGAGAGTTGGAAGTAACCAATTTAATCTGTATCCCACCCTTGTAAGTTGTAACTCTCTGTTGATGATAAATGTGTAGAAGCCGGAAAACCGGATCGACATAGACGATATAAGAAAGACGGAGTTAAGGAAACAACGATTATATGAGACATGGAGGCGAGATAAATCTCTTTCCTTAACTCTTAATATTCGCTCCGTAGTGAGACGAAACTGTACGAATATTGAGTCCCAGGATACAACCATGGCAGACGAATCACGCTTCACTCGTGAAAC